TTTATAATTTAATTTATTTTATAAATTGTATTTTTTGTAAATTTTCTTATGTAAGTTACCGTTGTTATATGCTTTTTCCACAATGAATAAAAATAATTGATGATCTTGATTTTATTTTAAAGCTCAGATTATAATGTATATATATTTTTAAATATATTTAAAAATGTTGAGATCTCTTTGTATAGAAAACATCTAATATTATTAAGATATTGAGCGGACACTCCAATAATTAAGAAATCTCTCTATTGTGTTCGGATAAAATAATCTTGTAATAAAATCCAAAGCTAACTTTGGATTTTATTCTAAGATTATTTTATCCAAACACAATAGGAAGATTTTTTATTGGAGTGTCTGCTCAATATTTTTATAACATTAGATGTTTCTTATACAAAGAGAGAAGAACAAGAGATGTCAACATTTTCAAGTATATTTAAAAAAATATATAATTTTAGCTTTAAGATAAAGTCAAAATCATCATCAATCATTTTTATTAATTGTGAAAAAGAAATATATTACAATAATAACTTATATGTATAAGAAAATTTACAAGAAATACAATTTATAAAATAAATTTTTTAATAACTAGAAACATTTATTAAATTATAAATATTATAAATATCTGACATGCTTTTAGGATATATGCATATAATAACTATCATCTATTGATATAATTGATGATATTATATTGATATATTGAATAACTTTGATGTCATCCATTTTTAGGTGTTTCTTTTATATTTGATAGATATTTAAACATATCAAAGAGAACATTAGTTTTCTTGATTTAAATGAAGATAATGATTATTTTTCTGACGATCCCGATGCGTTTTATTTAACTTATTTATTCCTTTATCATTTTTGAATAAATCTTGATTGCATTTTGAAAACAATTGTAACTGTTGATTCACTAATGCAATAAAATATGATTCTTGACATTTTCTTTAAGAAAGTATCGATAGCACACACAAATTTATCTGTCTAAAATATTTTTGCTTGATCTAAATTAGTATGAACATACTGTTGTCATTTGCTAGAAGCTTTTACGTTTAAATGATATCACGAAACACACGTTCACAGTTTCAGAAAAAGGTCGGAGAGTGTCAGATTGCCAGACATCTTTCACGAAATTGTCGAGCAATAATTTAGCGCCTTCTTCAGGATATTAAATAGGATCAGCAGGGTCACCGCAAACCTCATATTACAGGATCCATTTCGAATCCTAATTTCAACGAAATGAATGACTGCCGGTTGACGGGGATTTTCAATGGATTATAGATCAGGCGACCCTTCTTTTTTCGAAACGAAAGTTTGAATGGACGAGGAAGAGAAGGGAACAAGCACATCTATGTCTTGTAAGTAACTTAAAATTATTGTTAAATATTGCTTCAATGTTACGAATATAGTTAAACTTATTTCTTGTACTATTTTAATGTACAAATAGTATATTAAATCTGTATATACATATCTCAATTTATTAATATAGCCGTTTAACTCCGAGCTGAGACTTTATAGTCACTCTCTGCGCTTCCATGGAGAGAGGAAAGGAAAGAAGCCAGGAAGAGGATGTACCAGGTGGCTGCGCGAATGCCGTGCGATTGGATCGAGCAGCATCTTGGAAAACGAGATGAGACGGATGAGACGAATGAGACTTAGGGAGTTGGGATGTTCGAAAGCTCCGCCTGGTTTTCGGGACGTCCCAAATCTCGCGCCCCTCTAAATAACATCTTTTCTGTCTGTCTCTTTCTCGATTCATGTTGCTCCTCTCTTGTGCGTAGTCCACCCTTCGGCTTTTACTTCGAGAACTTTGACTAACAATTAGTTTCACGTCGGAGACGCGATCTATCGCAACGTTCTGCTCTGCTGATAGATATACTCGTGATCGCGTAAAAAAACTCATCGGTCACGTAGCAGGTATCGAGCAAGTTGCATAATTAATTGCGCTATCTGAACACAAGTGACAATCATGATCAATAATTTAAATGCGTAGCCATTTAAACAAGATGGTTCTCTTATACATATTACTCTAAATAATGTCGCGTAGCTTTATTCTTTTCGATCCTCTCAAATTTGGCACAATTGATTAAAGATAATTTCAAATTAATAATAGTGTAATAATATTAATAATATATAAAAAATTAAATAGCAAATTGCAGCAGTTCGTCATTTCAGATCTTGTCACTTGTGTTTTTTTACATCTCTTGTGCTATCATATTATGTGATTTTTGTTGTGTATGTGTATGGCAAGAAAATGAAGTCTTGATTTAAACGTAATTAAACAGTAGTCAAGAGAGATCTTTTTTATTATTTTTAAGAACGCGCAATTTTATTTCAAGCTGGTGTTTAGGAAAAACAACATTTAATTGTTAAGTATAGCATAAACAGATTCCGATTTTGCGACATAAAGTACGCAGGAAAGTTTAAAAAATAAAAATATTGTGAAAAAAAATTTGCTCTTTTAGCCGAGAAATTTACCTAAAAGACTTTTCACTGTGTGAAAGTAAAATTGCGCAAAAAAAATTCTGCTTTTAATACTTGTCTTTTAATTTATCTGATAACCAAATCTTAAAAATTGTCAGTTTGCATTATTGCGCTCTTTTGTAAATTAATTGTTTTAATAATTGATTGATTTTTACAATCATTATTTATCAGTAGATTGTTAATTACGCTTCGTAAGATAGATAGTCATATTATAATAGTTTGATTGTGTTCGTCTTATCAGTGATCTCTCTCTTCTAAATTTCTGACATTAACATAAAAACTTTAATATCATCTATTTTTACACTTTTTGGCCGCATAAACAAAGGAATATACACAATAGATTTCACTTTTAAAAGAAATAAAATAAAACTGCGTAACATAATAAAAGGACCTACATTCTGATTAAACCGATTAAATTTTTCACGATAAGCGATAACTACGCATCTCACAAGTTGCGGAAGCGTCGCGTGATTACCGTTTCGAATAATTAATTAATGGCTATTATATAATTAATGAGATGGTTATAATGTAACAGAATGCCTCGAAAACGGCGCGCCTCGACATCGTCACTGGAAGAATATCATTCCGAAGAGAAATACATAAAAGATGACATAGACAGTCGCGCGCCGCGAAATGCTGCCAATGCTCGTGAAAGAGCCCGTATGAGAGTTTTGAGCAAAGCCTTTGGAAGATTAAAAACATCTTTACCATGGGTACCGTCAGATACGAAATTAAGTAAGCTGGATACACTAAGGCTAGCATCAACGTACATAGCCCATTTAAGAGCCGTACTCCGCGACGACGGCGAAGCTCATCCCGAAAGTACCAAGTCTTTGTCACTCGCGTTGGTGAGTATCTATATCCATTTTTCTAAAACTTAGAGCTGCTTAAGATTTGAATAATCTTTCTTTCCTCTTTAATTATTAAAAGATGATGCTGAGAATCAGTTAAATTTTAATTAATTCTAAGTAACTTTGAGAAAAATGATACATTGATATCGATCTCGTGAATTGATTTTCTAATAAAAACATAAACCAAAAAAAATATTTAATTAGTAATCAATTTAATAACCAAAGTTATCCGTTCATAGAACATAGATTAAACGGAAAATAACCAAATGTAACTTCATATCGATTATCTTTCATACAATTTATCTATAAAAAAATTCAATATATGACGTATCAGTATTTTTTAATAGATATAACTGTACAAGATATTTCAAGAATTGTGCGGACTTAAACCGATTTTACTGAGAATTTGAGAGAGTTATCTCCAAACTATTTCTCGCTTTTACAATCAGACTTTCGACTTGATAATAATTCTGTAAAATAACATCGAGTCCAGGTGGATCCACTCGGAGTCGCGAGACGAGCGTCTTCGCAGTTATCCACTCTGTTTATGTCTGTCCAGGTGGATCGAATCACTCCAGAAACCATCTTACCCACCCTTTGCCACCATTAATTCTAAGTTAGTTCCGTTGTTTGAAGAAGCGTGCCGTTCTCCGCTGCGAAATAGTTGCCTCTTCGGTTCCCTCCTCTCTCTCCCCATCGAGATCAAAGAATATTTTATCTCTGAAAATGTTTCTCCATGTAAATTCATTGATATTAATTTTGAATCAAAGCGCATAAACAAATTTTCAATTCATACGGCTTTTAGCCGTAATATGTATACAATTTAATTAAAAAAAATTAATATTTTATGGGTGTATAAAATTTGAATAATATTCAGATAATTATAATGCGCGATGCAATCTAGTTTAAAATCTATTTTAAAATATCGAATACTCTTTTAAAGTATCGATTTTAATTTCGTTTAAATAAGAATAATCTTAACATTGCAGTCATGGCCATTCGCTATTCAAAACAGCAACGCTACCACGCTTATGAACAACAGTTGCAACGTCTCCTCGACATCTTCGAATTGTAATCAGTATCGAGGACAACAAGTGACTCATGATATCCAAAACTTCCATCATTCGGGGCATCAGAGCGTGTCGACACGCCATAATCTTCAGGGGGGAGAGCAACAGCTCTCTTATTTCTAACAAAAAAATTCTGATAATGCGATCAAAGCTGACTACAACGAGCGATATCTACGAGAAACGACTACTAGCTGGAAATTACATAACTATGACGGTGTTGTCGTTTTCACGCCTTATTTATTCCAGAGTGCCTTAATCTTCTAGTATTTATTGATTTACTTTTAATGCAATTGATAACGATTATACACCCATTTGTGTGACAAAGAAATAATTTATCTGTCAATAGCATTTATATCTTAATTTATGCGTCTTTTGTGCATCAAAGAAATGCATTTTATACATCCTTTGTGCACAGTTTTAATGAAATAAATTCAGACGAGCAGAATAAACAAAATATTATCTTTTTTCGTTTTTACAGAAAAAATACAATAAAAATGTAATGAGAATTTTGAAATTTTTGATTTATCAAACATTTCGTAAAAGATATTAAGAGATGTTCGCGGAGAAATTGTTTCCTTGTCTCACACATTCAATTATTGCAATATCATATAATATTGTAATCGTGTAATTGATACCAAAGCTTATCAACTAGTCCAAAATAAAATATTTTTAAGATTTTCAATAATTTTCTTTATATTATATTTAATGCAATATATATATTCAAATCATATATTGCTAATATACATTATTCACAATGAAAAATTTAAGGACGTAGAGAGAGATTATTTATCACTAAAATAGAATAATTAATCAAGAAGAATATTTTTATCACTTTATATAGAAATATTTTCCTGATTAAGTTCTAATTTTTTTATATATATTATACAAGTCTACATATGTATATATACATATATATGCGTGTCTATCGACTTGCCGGTCGATTGACATCTCTTACTGGAGAAGCGCCGAATGGCATCCGGAACAGCGGGGAGGAAGTGCGCGGTAAGGTAAGAAGGATAAAGAAGTTCAAGTTAAATAAACATCGTGAAGGGCCTTTTGTGTAAACCCGATACTAAAATAATATATCCCACACGGCGACAAAAATCGACCGGCACTAAACGTATCGTTTAACGTCTCCGCGCTACGTCAACATATACATACATGGGCTTTGAAAATTTATATAAACGAGAGATAATTTTATTCTTCTCTCTCTCTCGCCTGCGCGTTTTTCGACTTTATCCTTACAAATTTTCATCGCGCTATTTTTGGCCACCATATGTTAAAGACAAAAGAGAAAGAGAGAAATTTATATTTTTATGTAATATAAATACCTTCATATACTTTTAAAGATATATCTATGCATCCTTTATAAGAACTAGATTACTAGAACATTTTATAAACGCGCCTTATTTATTTTGTGTATGTATATATATATTAAATATAGTTCTTTGTTTTTTCAAAATTAATTAAATTAAAAATATATAGTTTTGTTTTATGAAAATCAATTAAATTAAAATTATACATACACTTAATATTTGAACTGTCAAATGTCACTCAGTCATGACAGGCTTTTATTGGTGAAGTAATTAATCCATAGTATAGTGCAGCGTCCAGATAACTTAATAAGCCAATCAGCATCGCGGAAAAGAATAATACCTGCGATTTAACATTTTTTAAGAGTAGAAACTGTATAGATTATCGACAAAAGTATATTAAAGGTATAACAAAAATAAATAAAAATTATACCTCTCATATAGTGCATCTTTCGCGATTAAAGATATAAAACAAAGTTGAAATACCTGAGATAAGAGAAAGACGTTACATATGATTCCGACTGGAAAGTATATACGTGTATACTGAGAATTGAGTGGCGAAAATTCCGATTTAGAAGTCATTTCGCGCCTTTTGCCAGGGTCATTTCGCCGATCGTACCGCGCATGCGCGGCACCGATATGTTTCCGCGATGCATCACGCGCCAATTTCACGCACGGCGCAGAATGAATCACGAATCAGGTAGTATGTATAATATATGCTCCGTGGATCAGGTTAGTACAATATATGTGCTCGGAGCAAGCAGAGCGGACCGGAACCCGGAACCCACAGTAGTAGTGTCCGCTCCGACGAGGGACGTTGATCGATCCTTTCGTTGTGCCGTTTAATACGCGTTGTACGACGCGCGTTTTTCATGATGTAGCGTTAGAGCCTTCGGGTTGGCCGAGAGACTCGAGCAGATCGCTGATAATCCGAACGAGAGAATATTTTCCCCCTCGTTCCCATTCGGTCCTTGACGTCGCCGCGCGTGTGTATACGGAAACATACGTTCCGAGACGACGGACGAGAGAACGTGGAGCCCCCGCGGGGCCAGGTATCAAAGCGCGAATCGCAACACAGCGTCAAGATGGCGTGTGCCACGAGCACAGCTGTTGTTTACCCACAAACCCGTGTGGGGCAGGTCACTGGCTGTTGCCGCTACTGCTGAGAGAGAGGACGAGCGCGTGAACGACGACTGGCTCCCCCGTCGTCGGGACTGGTCGGGTCGGGACGATGGGAGTTGCTCGACGAATGAGCGACTCGGAGTAACGGAGCATTCTCGAGAGAGCGGCGTGACAGCGACGTGACGAGGACGTGACAACGACGACGACGACGACGACGACAACAACAACAACAACAACAACAACAACAACGACGACGACGAGGACGGCGTCGGTGGTGGTGGCGGCGGTAGTGATAGTAGTAGTGGTGTACCGAGGAAAAAACGGAAAGATTGACTCGATGGAAGAGGGTAGCGAGGCCTGCGACGGCAGAAGTCACGAAGTCAGCTGGCACGAATCGAGCGCGAGAAACTAACCTAGTTGCGCCAGATCCGCCATCGCTCGGCACGAGGACGGCGAGGACGGCGAGGCGGAGTGATCGAGAGTGGAAGCGTCGATATCGAAGGAGAAAGCGGCGAAGTTAGTTTACGTTTTAGTTGACGCGACAAGTGCGCGTCTCATGCACGAATCCTTTACTTTTCTCGATGACCTGATGCCTCGATGCGTTACGTAAAAAGCGCGAATGCACGATTGACCGCAAGATTGACGATGTCCACATTCCTGGTTTCGTTTGTCTTTCGATAACAACACTGCATATGACGTCCACGTGTTAACGCATCGTGTCTGCATGATTCTTGGCAAGTTCGAGGTTAGGTTTATTGTTAGTTATTTGCTCTCGCGCGAATACAGCATGATCGGATATCAACGAGGTTTCGACGATGAAGATCCTTGTTGTGTTTGTTAAATTACAATAAATTGACGTTTGTAACGAGTTATACATATTTATATTTTATTATTGTTTGTATTTATCGCGACTTGAGTGACACAGTACTGTGAGTCATTGTATATCTTTGTGTACCCCACCATTCGTTCTCGTGAATTATGGAAATCTGTTGCTTTATATTATTGTCTCTTGACAGCTTATCGTTTAATCTGTCTGCCATTGTTATTCTTATGTGATATTTCTTGAAGATATTCATGCATGTCGTAAAACATGATGGTGATGGAGCATTTTGGTTTAGTGTAATTTATTTGTATAGATTCTTTTTCCAATAATCACTTTCTTGTGAATCTATTTTTATTTTAATTTTTTTTCTTATCTATTAATTTTCTCTATTTGTTGAACGTATACAGGTATCATCATGAACGCCAGGACGCAGCTGTTTGAATTGAGTATGGAGGGACGCCAAGTGGATGAGGCAGTGGCAAGTATATTTCATACCGTGCTCTTTCATCGAAGTCTCGGCAAATTCAAGTACAAACAGGAAGGCAGCTATTCGGTGGGCACCGTGGGATACCAGGATGTGGATTGCGACTTCATTGATCTCACTTACGTCTGCTGCTCGTCGGTGTATCTCGATCAGACGCTGAAACGCGAGATATCGGGCTTTTCGGAGGCTCTTCGCTCCACCGACAGTCCGGGCTCAGGTCAGATATCTCTAGAATTCTTCCAGAGGAAAAAGAGCCGCTGGCCATTTCAACCAGAATGCATACCGTGGGAGGTATGGACCGTACGTCTCGAACTCATCAAATTGGCCACCGAACACGAACGGCAGATATGCCGGGAAAAGGTGGGCGACCTGCTGACCGAGAAGATCCTTTACATCACCGAGGTTATGAATCGACACGATTATGTTCCGAAAGTGCCGAGTCAAGCTGAACTGGATTTGATCTTCGACACTTCGTATCCAGACATACAGCCGTACCTCTTCAAAATGTCCTTCACGACCTCTAGTCCATCGACCACCACGATGGGCAATACTATGAAAAAGTTGATCAGAGAGACACTGTCCATTTAGTTGTTATAAGGTATAGTTCTAAAGTTCTAACATTAATATGTTGGCGTGTATAGCTTAGAGTCATCTGAAAAACGCAAAACTTGCTCTTATTTTTCATCTATGATACACAAGTTTCTGTTTACTGCATTGCACCACGCAATTTCATTTCAGATCTGTTCATAATGACTCTAATCTACCTTAGCTATTATTATGAGTTCCTAAAAAAGAAAAAAAAAATTCTAAATTTATGCTACGAAGAATGGTCCGAATAGAGAAACTACCAAAAGTACTCGGCGTGCTTTGCCTACGTGGTAGACTCTTACCATGGATTTTGTAAGCTCTAGTATCTCTTATAAAAAAACGGAAATATAATACATTACAGAATTTCATACATCATAGGGACTTCCGCTGCTGTGTGTCTCTAATGTCTATATAGTACAAATGAACACAACACTCTTGTGACACTTGCTTTTTTTGTACTTTACTATGAACGTCCGTCGCATAATTTTAGCAGGATCATGTTAATCACGTTTTACACGATAATACTTCGCATTACCTCTTAAAATCTCTTACCACTCAAGTCTCTCTCGACATATGACTTTTATCAAGACAAAACGACATTATGTTCCTTTCTCGCTTCTCACCCTTTTTAAATGCTGTGTGTATACATCGTAGAATAGATTCGAGTGTAATTTCTAGATATATTTCTGGAATTTAACTTCACGCGTCGCATAAAGAAGATAATTTGATTTAGAGTAAGGATACAGAAAAATGTTAAACCTCTAGTTGAGAAGAGCAAGATGTTTCCAGATACTTTAATGTCTAGTAGAATTCTTGAGAGCAATGCATCTCTTAAAAGTCTCGTCACTTACTTACTCCTTGACAAACTTCTTCGAGTGCATAACGGCTGTATTCGGCACTGTACACATTATTTTTCAGTCACTAATGTTGAAAGTATACATAGTTATCCTAAACTTATGATAATGGAGAATGCTTTTGGATGATTCCGCATATATATACACGACGTGTGACGTGTATACCCAGCCTGTGTGCTTGCATATAAAACATATTATAATTTGGGCTTCTTAAATCTAACGCTAAATTTTCGGCCGTCTAATTCTGGATTTAGTGATATGGATATTTAGCGAAATCGGCATCATAGGCGGTCGGAGTCATATTTAGCATTAAATTGCGCGGCAAAGCAAAGCGTTAATTAAATAATTACGGTGTATGGATGGAATCGATTGTTATTTATTTTCGCGGATAATAATACGTAACGTAACATCAAATTACATTATGACGTGCAGATTACAGATTATTCACACTGCTTTCATTGATCTTAAGTTATTACATATATATAATCAAAGTGTAAAATAAGTTTAAATATAATTGTTAAGCCAATGCGCGCGATGCCCGCAATATCGAAGCGCACCGGGTGATACGAAAGAACCGCACGAAAAATCGCAGTCATAATTACATTTTCCCAGTCGTTTCGTGCCTTCGTATCGAATTTTTGATAGGAAAATTAATGTGCTAGGAAAACTAACATACCTGATCCAGATATCATTATTATTATATATAATATGATGATAATGATAATATCATTATTATTTATTGACCACACGCGAAGCATCTCTCATCTTGTAAGGAGTGAGATAGTTTTTCTCTCGCGCAGAAGATAAATCTGTGATCCTTCTCGGATTCGAGGCAGTTTTGTTTCTATTCCTCGTAAGCGATAAGTGTGTGTGCCGTTGACGTCGTGTCGTTTTAGGAGTTCCAAGTTGACGGGAAACGCACGGATATCGGAACGTTCGTTGGCGGCGACTCACGCGCGATTATACTTATTGTACAATGTAAATAGTGTGTCCGAAAATTATGCCGTAAATCAAAGACGTCGTGTCGGAAGGGTCTTCGCACGTTCCGAGATTCGTACTTCGGCTTTTCCTATGACCAATCAACAAAGATATCACGACGCGTAATTCACATATACTTTACGAGTTAACGATGTAGACGAGAAGCGTAATATTAATTTATAGTTGATCATATATCGTCTCTATTGCTTTCTTTCGCGATGTTCTCTAAGTAGTTTAATATACAATTGCAATTTAGCTAAATGTTTCGCGAATCGAGCATGCGTCGATTCTATTGGATTGTTTTTCTTCTCTTGTCGATTGAAGGAAAGAAAAGAAAAGAAAAGAAAGAGGAAAGAAAAACAAGCGGTGATCATCGATAATCTGCCGCTCTCTGTGATTCTCTGAATCTATTATAATCTCTTTTCCTCGCATCATCCGGTATATGCCGTGTACGATTGTAAAAAGTAAAAAAAGATATGACATTATGACAAAGAGAGGCGCGCGTATATGTGTGTATAGGCGCATATATATAAATATGACATATAGAAAGAACAAAGAGAGAGAAAGAGAGAAAGGACGAAAGCACGAGCGAGTGGTCACGTGTGTATGTGCAACTAGAATTTTGCGGATTTATCAAATTGCCACATGCTGTTATAAATAAATATAGTTATATATACATACATACCTACACACACACACACACACATATATATATATATA